TATATATATATATATATATATACACATATATAATCTTTACTCAAATCTTTTGATGGACAACATTTATTTTTCTCATTTGCAGCCCAGGTCATAATTTATGTTTTTTCTATGGTAGAATTAGACTCTGAATCCTGAGTCCCAAAGCAGTTTGAGATAAATCATGTGACACATTTCAGCCCAAACTGGTCTGATGTTCCAAGGAAGGAGAATTCAATGAAACCTGGAACTTATTTGGACCTTTGAGCATGTTTACATTTCAGGTGCCTGGAGCCAAAGAGGCCTTCATGAGACATAAGATAATATCTTAAATCCAGCCGTTTGAGGCAGCAGGAGCAAAAGCAAATTCTCCAAAGTAGTTTTCACTCTTCCTGCTTCATATGTTGCTGTAAATATCAAACAGAACTATAAAGCTGTCTGGACTAAACCGAGATACAAAAACATTCAGAGGATCAGCTCAGCATATTTTCCTGCAGGTTCATGTCAGTCTGTCAGGCTCTCCACTGCCTGAGGATACACTGCTGGAGTATAAACAGATTATGAGTAAATGTTTGGCATCGAGTTCTCTTTTTTTACAAAGACCCCGGGTGTTGTTTATCTCCTGCTGTGAGCTGACAGACGGGGCTGAAAAGCAGCTTCAGGGGAAAGGTGAGAGAACCTCACCATCATCTGCAGCATTCCATGTCAGCCGATAATTAGCTGCCAGTTCCCACAGACTGAGAGCAGGATACAGAGAAACGTGACCTATTTTATCAGGATGAATCTGATCTGAAGGAAAATCAGATAACAGTGTGTCCTCAGCATTCCACCCACTGCAGGAGGAAATGTTCAGGAGTCAGACAGCAGAACCGTGTTTTTCACGGCTGATTTGGAGCTGAATTGGAGCCGTAAATCTTATTCAAAAAGAGTGATTTTGTAACTGGATAAAAAAAAAAATTAAACTGACAATTTACGGAAAATCGGAATAAAAGAAAAAAAAAAAAACACCTTTTGAATCCGAAAAATAATTTTGCAACTGCAAAAGGACTTTAAAGTAGAAATTAAAAATATTAAACTAAAAACATTTTTTAAAACCGAATAAAGAGATTCTCAAACAAAAACAAACGTTTAAAGCTACCGTTCTGATTAAGTGTTTATAAAAAAAAAACAAGAAATATCTTTAAAGCATAATTTATATAACATTTTATATGACTGAATAAAAAAAAAAATGCTTTTTTTATAAACTCCAATTTGCCTGTGTTTTTTTTTTACTTTTACCAGAGTAGCTTTTCACCCAAATTTTATGACCTTAATTTAGCTCCATAGCTCTGCGTCATTGCATGTCAAACTGAAACATTTAAATTCAGTTCTATCGAAACCAAGCTGGACCTATTTTTAGACTGAATGACTCAGAGAAGTTCCTTCTTTACTCCCCGCGTCTTAAAAGTCTTTAAAGCAGATGATCAAACATGCAGCTGAAGCCAAGGCCCAGCAGCTCCATCATTCAGCTCCTCACCTTGCAGAGCATCTCCGTCCGTCACGTCACACTGGATGAAGGTGCTCTGTCCTTCTCCGAACTCAGCATCCAGCTGATCTCTGCATTGCTCCCCCAGGGCGTTATTCAGGTCCACCACGGCCACCTGCAGGACGCACAACCCGGGGCAGCTGAAAGCATCTCTGCAGAAGTTTGCACACACTGAGAGGAAGCATCTCTCTGCGGTTTCACAAGTTAAAAGGTGCTAAAAGACGAGACCATCTGCAAGAGAGATGGACGGTTCTCGGAAACACTTTAAAAAAAACATGCAAAGTTTACTAACATTTAAAAAAATAAAGTTTCTGACTGAACTGAACCATTCCTCACAGTCCGGTTCATCAAGCAACAGCAGTTTAAAAGCAGGAAAAGATGAGATTTGATCAGAAAGCAACGATAAATGCGCTCCAGGTTTTCAGAGGTCAAGCAGACATGAAGCTGGAGCAGAACCGAACCTTTGCTGAGCTCTCAATCAGAGACTGGACCACAGCCCTCCCGATGCCCTGAGCTCCCCCGGTCACCAGCGCCACCCTCCCGGCCAGAGACATGATCCACGCGTGCTTTGCTTCGCCCTCCTCCGGCAGCGCGTCTGTGCGCTCTAGGCGCTGCGCTCACAACTTTTCTCCTCCTCCTCCTTCCTCCTCCTCTGTGTACACAAACAAGGCATGCCTGTTTGTGTGTGTGTGTGTGTGTGTGTGTGTCCCAGTCAGAGGAAGGTTAAATAAACTGTGCAGGATAATAATTACCGGTTTCATCCGCGTTGCTCCTCCTGTTCCACACCTGAGCCACCAGCCTCACGTTCCTCCATTGAAATCCTGTTACACAACATTCTGCTCTGAGGTCTGCTTCTCCACACTCAGCGTCAGGTCTCTGCATGCACGTTGGGTAACATTAACCTGGGAAAACAGAAAGACTCCTAACCCAGTTAAATAATCTCAGGGATCACGTGAAAGCATTCTGAGAGGACAACATGGTGATACTTTAGAAAAAAAATGGACGTGTTGTTTTCTAGAGACTCACAGAAGGATCCTGATGTTGCTCATAGTGTTTACACAAGGGTGTGACTTTGGGTGGGGGTGTTATCTGTGTGCACTAATGATTTTACAGTGATTTTCAAAACTTTTTTGTTTTATCTGTATTTACTCTGCCCATGTTCTGTTTCACGTCAGATGAGCAATTTCTTTATTTAAATCTTTTTTCTAACACAGTGCCAAACATTTAGCATTTTATTGGTACATTTACACTGTAATTACTCAGCTACAGTGTATGAATTTACATTGTGCCAATTTAGTAATAAATAATTTGACTCGACCTTTACAGGCACTAAAACCATGTCATTTTCAGGGATTATTCACACTTCACCAGTTCGTAGAACCTCCATCAGTATCTTGTAGAACCTCCATCAGTATATTGTAGAACCTCCACCAGCAGGTTGTAGAACCTCCACCAGTAGGTTGTAGAACCTCCACCAGTAGGTTGTTGAACCTCCACCAATAGGTTGTAGAACCCCATCAGTATCTTGTAGAACCTCCATCAGTTTCTTGTAGAACCTCCACCAGCAGGTTGTAGAACCTCCACCAGCAGGTTGTAAAACCCCCATCAGCATATTGTAGAACCTCCACCAGCAGGTTGTAGAACCCCCATCAGCATATTGTAGAACCTCCACCAGAAGGTTGTAGAACCCCCATCAGCATATTGTAGAACCTCCA